CTAAAATTCTACCAATACATGAGATGATGATGGCAGTAAACAAATGACTTCACTGGTTGATCAGCTGGCCCTTTTGTGCGGCGTTTGGCTACGGCACAATGGGAGTCCCTACCCTACACCCAGCTGTATGCCATGTCCAAATTTTTTACCTTTTTCTGAAAGAGATGAATATGCTACACATTCAAACGTCCCGATAAACGTGGTTTTGAACATCAACATGCTCCATTCTGCCTAATTACTCGCATAACATGACCATAACCGATCGTGTTCCAATATCGAGGCGGCTCTCAGTTTGCATTATTTTAACCTTCCCTTCTAAGTATCTATCTGATATTCTCAGCTTTCCATATCGATTGATTTAAATGAGCCTCTTCTCTAAGTTGGACCCAAAGAAGTTGAGAGACTCGGAGAGTATAGTAGCATCAATAATTTTGATAACCCACGGTTTGCGGCATAGAGATCAAGGCTTTTCGGGCAGGCCGGCAAATTCAGTCAGTTGAGGAACCGGGAGAAGAAGAAAACTTAAAACGCTGTTTTAGAGCGCTTATATCGTATTCTTATGTCACCGCCAGGTACTTGCATGGGCGCATCCAAGGAATTATACAAGTTCCCTTTCCTTAGCCGGGGGATGATTGCTCCGGGTTCTAAATCCGTCTGACAAGTCTAGCCAAATGCACCAAAACTGTTTTCCCATTGAGGAAAGGGTCCACTGACAAAGCAAGAGAGTCGGGGGGACCTCCATCCGGCCTTTGTTGGAAATGTCAGAATCCCTCTGCAGCCCTTTTCTCTTCACTCGGAATATCCCTAACCTCTTCCACTTTCAGCCAAGGTGTATCCCGTTTGAAGTCTACTCCACGGTTTATTATCAGTCAAATCCTGTCTTGTATCTCCCTCGTCTCTCACATGACGTCAACGTCAATGGAGCGGTCTGACTCGAGCTTCATTTTTGTGGAGAGTGTTCGAGGCAAGCTCAGCAATAGAGAACGCAAGATCGTTCGTCGTTACTGTATGAAGGGCAGGAATACGAAACCCGACACGGGCAAGAACTTGGATCATAGGAGCTATGGCCTTCCTTCTGCAGCGAAAAAGCACATGTCCTCTTTCGAGTTACAGGCACCACTGAGCCATAGCCCTCAACCTACATATACCGATGCTGCTGACAACGAGCGTAACCACTATCTGCCCACAGTCCGAGTCACTGGGGAAAAGCTGTCCAAGCAGATTATCTCTAAGCTATGGTTTCCATTTGCGGATTTCACTAGTGAAGATACCGCCGCTTCATTTTCCGTCATTTACAATAGTGAGAGATCCTTGATTTTGAACGGTAAATTCCGGTAGGACCTAGACTAATATACAAAGATCTCCCTTGTATCATGCGGGCTTTTACGATCTGTGACTTCTCCGTCACTGTCCGATCCCAGCCTTCACCATGGCACGATTGGTTTTTCCTCGACGACACATATGCCCACTCTTCTATGATTTTTGCCTGTGCCGTGTCTGAAAATGTCATACAGCAGGGCCCCTCTCAGCTAAGGATGTTTCACATGAGTCGGGCTATACGCCAAGTGAACACGGCATTGTCCGATTCCACCTTGTTCATGAAGAATTCGAACATCGCTGCCGTCATTTGTCTCGCATTTGCGTCTTTCGTTTCTCATGACTATCACGCTACAACCTCCCATGCGACAGGGCTACGCCAAATCGTCTTGTTGCGAGGAGGCATCGAGAATTTTAAACAAGTATTACAGTTATTGGTTGGAATGAGTCGGTATGTGTAACCCCCACCTGCAGATTCACCCTCTAGCTAACAGTCCCTAATTTAACTCAGAATTGACCTATGTCTCTCTCTTGCTGTTGGACGCCATGTTATCTTCACCAGCAACCCCCTACCCTGCCTTGAGACCTGTGAAGCAGAATCCTCAGGGTTTTACGCTCTAGTCCCCCCAACCCTTGTATACGAGAGATCCATAAGCCATCTCGTGGACCTTAGGATCTCTGATATCTTTCAACGGCTGCAGAAATTTGCTTTTGACTTGAATAATTTCACTTCTGGTGGCAAGGCCGTGTCAGAGGAAGACGTCTACCGATGCTTGATATCGGCTCAATATGACCTCTTCGAACTTGAGAATCAGTGCCAGAGCATCCTTGATGAGTGTGTGCGAATGGGCTTGTTAGTGATGCTGGCTTCCGTTTTCCAAGTTCACAACGACCTGAAAGTGCAGTATGATTTTGCAACAAATCGGTTGCAACACCTTTGCCTTCAGGTTGATTTATCTATCCCGGATGTTCGGGATCTCATGACTTGGGTCCTCATGATGGGGGCGCTATCGGTCTTCAATTGCGATGATGTGTGGTTGAGAGAGAAGTGGCGGGCAGTGTTGCAAGACGTGAGCCCATCGTGGGGTGAGGTTCGCGGACGGTTGCAATCATACATTTGGATCAACCAATGCCATGACGGATCTGGATTTTTCAGATTTGAAAGACTGATGCTAAGCTGAAGAATGGTGAATCTTTGCTGCGACATAATCTAATAAAAATCGAGACGGGTTTAAGAAATCGATTAATAATTCCCAGCTGTGTACATTTTATCATTCCAACTGAAGCGTCATACTGGGTATTGCCAGCCGACAGGCTTCTTTCGGCTATAAACAGAGTGCTTTATTCAAGACTTTCTTTATAAGGTAAACACTGAGGCCAATGTAGGTTAGATAGCGCCTCTCCCCAGGATCATTTGGGATAACTTAACTTCTATTCAGTGTAACTTATGAATGTCGGGACTACAATCTAGCCGCTCTGTGCCGGCCCCAACACCGACGGGTGGGTTCTCTCCATTGGGATAACCTGAATGGTTGCGATTGTTTTCCTTTTCAGGAACCATACTCCGAAACAAACATTTCTAAGCAGACAGTCCTGTGCATGAATGACACGTACCTTTTGCTACATTCTCACAACAACATGATAACTAGCGTATTAGCGGAGTAATTGAGGGCCGCAGTTAAGATAAGTGCTCTAGCTACGAATCGTTCAGATATAAAACTAGTCCAAGAGTGTCAATAAAGTCAACATTACGATCTTCTCGTCAACCTGTTAGAATATCGCAAAAAAAAGGCCGTTTCTCCAACTCAAGCGTGTTCTAAAGCCTTTATCCAGCTTTTCGTCCCGGTGATCGGTTTCATATCTACCAAGTTCATAACCTTCCATCATACCTAATCTACATCTCAACATGTCAGTCCGAGAGTGCTGCTTGAGAGGCTTTCAGTGGGATGGGGTCCCAACCGGCCGTACAGACCGTCTTGCTGGGCTCGACGTCTACATCTCCGGGACCAACGAGCGCGCCGCTATCCTATTCATCGCTGATCTTTTCGGCTGGAAATTCCCAAATATCCGACTCCTGGCTGACCACTATGCTAAAGAGGTCAACGCCACCGTCTACGTGCCTGACTTCTTTGGAGGAGACCGTCTGCCAGATGAAATATTTGCTGAAGAGCGATGGACTGATCCTGCACTGGGTGCTTTCATGCAACGAAACTCTCGCGAAGTCCGCGAGCCAGAAGTTCTTGCTTGTGCACGCGAACTTCGAGCTAAACACCCAAAACTTGCTGCTGTCGGGTATTGCTATGGCGGCTGGGCGGTCTTCCGCCTTGGAGCTAAGGAGCACCAACCTCCACTCGTCGACTGTATCTCGACTGGACACCCGTCAATGCTGACGAAAGCGGACATCGATCAAGTCGGCGTGCCGGTGCAGATCCTAGCACCCGAGATCGATTTTCTCTTCACGCCTGAACTGAAGCTGCATGCTTTCCAAACCTTGCATACCTCTTCTCTGCCGTTTGATTATCAACACTTCCCTGGCGTTGAGCACGCGTCTCTCGTGAGAGGGAACGAGGCAAAAGCGGGAGAGAGGAAAGCAATGGCTCGCGCGAAGAACGCTGCCGTGACATGGATTAGGCAATTCTTGCATGAGGAGTGATGGAGGAAGGCAATTAAGTTTGTCGCAACGATGATTAAGACGACATGTAGAAATCTACGAAGAGTCAGAATGACTACATGTCCGGCTGTCTGGAATAAGTGCGATGATGAGTCATCAGTACATTTGCCTTTGTCAAAACTTTTATGATCGCGATCTATACTTAGAAGATGATTACTATCTAGTAGAATAACATCATATCTACAATGCCCATATTGACCGTCCCATTCTTCAGGTGATTCTTTCCATTCACATTTCTAGGCTAGGGCGAGGCATGTGACCACCTTGTCAAGATTGGCAAAGACGAATATGAATCGCATATCCCTATGGCATTCTTGACGTGTATCAATGCCACTGTCACTGCTCCTTCGAGGGGACGACTTTGAATCCACCCAACTTCTAAAGTGGCAGAAAGGTATACCGTCGAGAAAATACTTGCTAGATGTTCTTCAGGAAAAGCATCTTTCCGCTCTAGCTAGATTTTTTGCCTATCTCAGGCAAGTAGTTTTATGGAACGAAAAGGCATGAACTACTGCCCGCTTCAAACGAGGAAAGCCACTCAACTGAGAGGAAAAAGCTGTGTTTCACATTTGATCAAAGACGAAACAGCTAGAAGAGCCAAATGGGTTCTCGCTGTTGAGGGTACACCACCCCCTGCCTAGAGGCCTCAACAGAGGTGAAGCCGGGGCAATTATCTGTTTGGACTTTTGGTAAGATTACTAACACATAAGCAGCATCACCTGTGCAGGATATACGCAAATGTAGGACACACAAACGGTTAATGGGGGAGACGGGCCTTGATTGATGCTATGTATCATTGGAACGAAGTCAATCTCAGCAGGATCATTCATTCACACCTAATTAACCCAATCTAGAAGGTGGAACATGTCCAATTAAACTCCTGCGGGGCTTGCTCAATCGTGAATTCACGGACCTCTGCACATTTGATATTTCTTCGTCCACCTTCACACTTCGCCCGCTCCTATCAATACCACCAAACATCAATTGATAGACCAGTCCATAGACCGGCGCAATGCTTCCTCCAGAGATTTGGTCCCGCGTGTTTTCCGAATTGGTTCTACCGGCTACATCGAACGGCTCTCGGCGCCCGCTCAGGCCCCTTTATTCCCTTTGCCTTGTCAGCCGCCAATTCCGTCAAATTGCCCAACCTCTGTTGCACCGCACTATTTCCTTCGGCTATCGACACGTCGGACATCCCATGCTAGTCAGAACCCTATTTGGATCACCTGAACTAGCTCGTGCCGTGCGCAAGGTGGCTTTGCGCGACGATGACCTTGCGTCTCTTGCAAGTCATCGGCAGCTACTAGAAGATACAATCCGCTCTTTACATGCTCCAGAGGCGTTCAGGCATCAGCTAGAAAACAGTCTCAAAGCTCCAGACCGTGGTTCATTTGCGGCAATTGTTCTTGCAATGACCACCGCAGTACGCGAGATCGATATAGCTCTCAACTTGGAGGATGGCATGGCAGCGCCAGATCTCTTGTCTCTTCTGGCAGGGTCCAATAACATCGCCGACGATGAGAATTCCCAGTCTCAAACAGAATACCGGAACTTCGGTCTGCCATCTCTGAAACGCATGTCACTCACTGTTGGTGATGAGATGTGTTGCAGCATTTCTGGATTAGAGTCAGTGTTATTACGGCCAGGCTTAGAACAACTGTGTCTCAAGAAAGTCTATTGGCACTTGAACGAGGGTGATGCAAGGCAATGGCCAGAAGGGACATCCGATCTACCATCTCTCACTCTGGATGACTCGATGGTTAGTGGCCACTCCATCCAAGATATCTTCACCCGGTTTCCGAACCTCCGAGTCTTCAACTTCATTGCATCCGATCGGTTTTCAGGACGCCAGGAGGATTATGACGAGGAGGATGATGGAGAGTGGGGTTTTCGCGCTGCCGAGGTCGGCTACTCTCTGAGAAGATTTGGAACCAAGCTCGAGGCTCTGACTCTGAGAACAGCATATTACCGTGAGGGTGTAATGTGGGATGGGTCACTTTGGGACGACAGCCTCTTGGGTTCTTTGAGAGAAATGGATGCTCTCCGTAAACTTGAGATTGACTTATCTGAACTGACGGAAAATCTCCAGGATGAGGATTCTGCCGAATGGGCACGAAATATGGTCGAGATTTTACCGCCAAGCTTGGAGGAGCTGATCGTGCCGTACCATTACACATTATTTGGGAAAGTCTTCGAAATCATCAAGGGGAACTATTTCCCTGCGCTGCGACTGATTGCTATTCTTCCTGTTAGAGGCGAAACAGAATATATACCGTCAATTAAAGACGAGGAGATCCCAGGTTGGGCTTTTATCCTCGGGGGGGTCGGTATCTCATCGACATTGGAGGCGTTTTATAGCTTTCAGAGGAAGAGTTAGATGCACATAGTAAATCTTTGGAAGCGTCATATAACTTGGCCACTCTATTAGTCTTTTCGTTAAGAGTTCCTGTCCTTCGATCATCCTGCTATGAGTGGTTCATGATTCTTGATCCAGCAGCCACGTATTGTATTACAGACTAGTAATCATCCTATTCTATAGATCATCGATCATTCTTCTCGCCTCAGAGATTACATTCTTGCCATCTCGTCCGCTATGCAATGCGGACTAATGTTTCCGCAGGTTTCGACTGCTCCCATGCCATGTTATGAATGATGGCTACAGTACAGCGACTTGAAACACCATTCTCGTAACCTGGTTCTCGGTCAATCACTACTGCGTTTATCCAGCCACTCTGCGGGCCAACTGCAGGGAATACGTCGCTGTCCCAGAGCGCGATCGGTCCCTCAACACTGCCCGGCCCTTGCAGCGGACGGGTGCAGGATTCGTGGTTAGAGATACCGACTAGGGCCAGCTTCTTCTCATGTCCGAGATACAAGTCATCCTCAGTCCATCCGTTGCCGCCCTGGGACCACCAGAGCCCACAGTGCGCACCGCTGCTGTCCAAAATATAGCGGACGCTTTGGGGCCCCTTTGTGTGCACTTGGTCCGTCAAGCACAGATAGTCTTCGGTCGACGACAATGAAAAGGAACTAAATGGAACCACGGGGGCAGTCATTTCCAAGATTGTATTGGCAGGAGGAGCATCCATTTGCTTTTGTCCCTCCATACATGGTCGTTGGTGTTCTCTCGATTTGCTGTCTTCTGCTTTCCCCTCCCCTACGTGAAGCTCAATGAGCTTCTCCTTGGTCTCCAAGCTTTTAGAAGAGTCAAGTTCTCTCTTACTATCAGGTTCGTATTGGATGGCAGGATCAGGGTTTCCCAAAGCTTTGGGTTGATTATCTCCCTTTTTGACAAATTCGTTCGACAAAGTATTTCCACTTTTCTCTTCAATCTCATGCAGGGTCTGAACAGCCTTTTTCCACTTATCAGGGTAGATGTCTTGGCCATCTAGCTTGAATTTGCGTACTAACGGCATAGGTCGGTCACTGTCATCTTTGATCCCCTCAAATAACCTATAATCCACTGGGCCGTCCCAGCCCGCCCACGACCAGCTGGGAAATCTCAGATCTGGCTGCCCGATAGCCGTGCCACTCGTTTGGGAGGGGAGCTTCTGCCCCCTACGTGGTATCTTGGCAGCAGGCGTCCAGAGGAGTGCGTGGATGAAGAAGCTCTCGGGCAGTCCCTGCACCGTGGCGCTCTCGAAGTAGTCTTGCAGTACGAGCTCGTCCAGCACAGCAAAGATGCCAGCAAAGCCGTCGAGGATGTCTGGCTTAAAAGTGAATTGGCGCTTACTATACATCTGTACAAGTTCTTGATACACGCCCCAGGCCTTCCACAGTCGAGGGCCAGCCTCAAGATCATACATGAAGGCTAAGTCTGATATGGGGTTATCTTGCTTCGGCCGTTGCTGAATCTCTCGGTCATCGAATACTTCTCCAGCGAAAAAGGACGTGTACTCTTCGTTCACCCCGCCCTCGGCCAAAGTTCTCCGATTGCATTCGAAGTAAAAGGCGTCAGCAGAAAAGTAAATACATCTTTTCGATAGAAGCCGCTCCTGTAAGATCCACCCCCTCGTGTCCCAGGTAGATGCCTGCAGGACCAAGGGGAGCGGGCTAGGACCCCGGATGAATCTGCACGTTCGATTACCCTTCTCCTGCGGTACGTCGTCCTCGTCTTCGTCGGAGAGAGACAGATCTATTGTCTCGATCTGCTGGCAGGCGCGTGTTCCGGGTGAAACACCTGGGAGGCCTGCATCAGCATTATCACCGTGCAGGGCAACAATAGTGGCGTGAGCCCTCCCATACACGATATCCATGTTTGGGAGGTCTCTCGCCTTCTGTGAGTCATCGTCTTGCACGATGCAGATGGCATCGATCCAAAGTAATCGTTCTCCGAGAGAACGTGTCAAATCCATTGCATCCTTGATTGTCTTTGGAAAGGGAACAGAAGATAGCGCCCCCGGTCGCTTTCTCTCCTCAACATTCTCCAATAACGTCATGTGCATGTTCACTCTACCCCAAGTGTAGCTGAGCACAAAGTATTGGTCGCTGGAAGTACCAATTACGAGGCATTCCTGAACGGCATCAATGAAAAGCAGAGGGATTTCGGATTTGATCCGGTTTCCGGGCCGCGGGTGGTTGCAGATAGGGCCGTGATTGTGGTCACAGTCCTTCAACCATCTTCTCATGAGTTTAAGGTCAATCTGCTGTCCCCCCTTGTCGTTAATGGGCCCATAAGCGTCTTCTAATAGCGCTTCCAATGTAAGTGGTGTTTCAGTGTTATCTTCCCATGCCTGTCGAAGAGCGTGGCGAAAGTTTTTTGGTGTTAGCAGCCGCAACTCTCCCGCATAGGAGAGCCCAACATCTACTCTCATGACGCCCTCGCCATCTGATAACCGGCCCAGCATGAAACGGATCCGCTTGGCCCCTTCCTCTATTTTCTCAAAGTATGTGTGAAGCTGGCCCTTGGCTGTCGTGATCAAGGAGGCTGCCAAGTTACAGACAGCGCATTTACTTTTCCGGAACAAGATTGTCCTCCAGTCCCCAGTGCTCGGGATGCATGAGTCTTCAGCAACGAATTTGAGTCCCACATCTTCTGGGTCCAAAAGTGTGCAAAGCCACTGGCACCAATAGCACAAGCCAGGATTAATTCGCCTGCCCTCCTCGCCAGCTTTCCTAAATAGCTTTCGCTCCAGTCTTTCGTCATTATCAAGGAGTTCGCTAGGTGGTCGAGGACTATCATCATTGAAGTAGCGAGCTTTGATGAAATCCTTGATATCGAAAACCATGTGTCCATCTCGGGGATCGATGTTAACCAATCGCTGACCAGGGACCATGTTAAATATGTCGGGTAGTGTTGGCTCTGCCTCGTTTTCTGCTTCCACGGGCTCGTCGTGTTCTAAGCTGAGTTCTGATATTTTCTTTTCAATCTCTTCGTTGATTAAGTCCACGCCATCTGTCGCAGCCGTCGCTAGAAGCTTTAAACGTGCAGCGTTGTACTCATAGAGCTCATCCAAAGCCATGAGTGCGTATTCTTGATTCTCAAAGTTATAATGGGACTTGAACCTCGCAAGCAACTCCTCCTCTGCCAATCGACGCATAGGATTCTCAGCAGGTGCCTCAGCTAGCAATTTCAGGTTGCTGACCAAGTCGGGGTACCAGTCAACGTTCACCTCTGGGGCTTGCAAGCTTGACCTAGCTCTGGTGCTTTCGTTGAAATCACCGGACACGACCAGGCCATACTCTACTAAGCAGATGAGATCGTTCAGACTGCCAGACAGAAAGTACTGCTGACCCAGGATATGCGAGTATTCAAACTGTGACCGTGCCTTGTTTAGATAATCCGCCGGCGTGCTCTCGACCGCAATGCGCCCTTTATCACTGATGTTTTTCACTATGTCCACAACTTTGACTGTGAATGCGCACTCTCGTAATCTCTTGAGATGTGTCAAAAGTTGATCTCCCTTGGTGTGGTGACCAATCGGTATAGAATCGAACAAGCGACAAGAGTTGTAGACAAGTACTTCCATGTCTTCCAGATTGCCAGTGTAGCTGAACTTTGCCGTGCACAGCTCCACGAGAAGTGAAAGCATCTCAGTCCACCCATCTTGTCCTGGAACGTTGACTTCCAAGCCAATATTGCAGTTTGCGATTGCTTCATCCAACACTTCCGGTTTTTTCTGAACCCTAAACTTCATAGCAGCCGAGGCTCCCAGCTGGCCAATGGCCATGCCATGTAGCCATGTTCCAGGTTCGGCTGACGACAGCAGCTCTCGAAAGAGATCAGTAGCCTCTCGTTCGTTTTCTTCATCTTGTGTGCACATATAGCGCAGGCGCAATGATGAAGCAAGATTGTTCACTGTCATTAGATATCGCTCGGAATCCTTGCGTACCTTCGGCAGGATCTCCCGCTTGCAAGCAATGGAGTCCTCCAGATCGGGGGGGTCCTTTTTCAACTCGAAGCGTTGAACCAGAGAGTGTCCCAGATTAGTCAAAATCTCAACATGAAGATCCAGACTCTCTTCGACGCCAGTCGCAGCCGACAGGTCATTGGCTTGGCGTCCATATGTGACGGAGCTGTCAAGCGACTTTTGGGAGCCAGTGAGGCAGTAGAGCTCATACTCGGCCTCGCAGAGTTTGTTCAGTATGAAGGCACGATCTGGGGAGATCTGCGGGATGCGGCGCAGAAGTGCATCCAAGTGCTGGACCGCATCTTCCAGGAACGGCTGCCGTGATAGATGAACGCCGATTTTGATGGAGGACACTGCTATGACGGTTCTCGTGATAATCTCAACCTCTAAGGGAATTCTCTCATTCGCAAGAGCCTCGGCAAACTGCACCTGCGCGACGGCATGCATCTGGAGCAGGTCGGCAATATCCATGCCCTCAATTGCGTTGAAGTCCATCTTGTGGGGGTTTGTCCGACTGACAATCCAGTGCATATACGTTGACCAGTTCAAGCATATGATCGATATCAACTATAAATCTGAAGAGTGGTAGGCCACTAAGAAAAATGTGGTGTTTAATCACAGCTCTTAAGACTCTTGGGTGGTCTGACACGTCAATATTGGGCGAACCACTCTCTAATGCCCCGCCTCAGCAGCATCTGCCTCGCCGTATCTTCTTCAGCTTAATAGGTGCTTGTAGCGGGGTGCTGTTACATTTGCACTGCCAGGATGTATCCCCTCCCTGAGTGGGTACATTAAGCTGGCTGTGCAGCTTTGATCTCGGGAAATCTGCCTTATTAGTACAACACATTGTCATGCCAGAACTGGAGAAATCTGCCAATTCAGGGCCGAGATTACATCGTCGAGGGTGTATCCTTTTCTAGATTAAAATCGTGAGTTTTGGGCACATTGAAGCTATCTAGCCCTTTCAACAGACGTATGACACTTTGGAATATAAACCCACTTGGCCATCTGAACCCTTGGGGTTTCCGTCTTGTCAACATGTCATTGGTTATTAACTTGATAGAAATAACTGTTGAGTCTAAGGTCTGCAGAGAATTCATTGTCCCAATTGCGAGAAGTTAGCTCGTGTTATTCATTGTCTTCACTCCTAGATTAGAGATGTCTGTATATCTAGGCAGGCAGAGGGTTCTAATTGAAGGCCAAGTCCATTAACCATAGCCAACTTCTCCAAACTCTGACAATCTTCTACGATTCCCATACAACCTACAAGTCATCAGGCGCAACTTTCCCTGTCGAGTGCCTCTTCTTAAATGCTGGCCGGGGTTGGAGTCCCCACAAGCTGCCAAACTGGTCTAGGGCTGATCTCAGCATGTCTTTCGAATCATTCCAGCCAATAGAGATGGCTTTGCAAAATGAGATCTGGTATCGGTACCAAGCAAGGCTCGTCACGGGGTTTTGTTTATGTGTCATTTTAGGACGGATATGAAATGACACCTGGCCACCCAGTCAAGGGACACAACACCAAAACCTTCCATCACCACCAAAAATCGCATCATCATGAGTCGCAAGGTCCTCGTCACCGGAGCCAGTGGCTACATCGCCGCCAACATTGTTGACGCCCTGCTCCAGAGCGGGTGGGATGTGCATGCCACGGTACGCAGCTTGAAAAATGAGAAAAAGGTCAACCCGATCAGGGCCTTGGCGGATAAGGATGGTGCCAAGGGCACGTTGGAGCTGTTCGAGGCTGACTTGCTACAACCCGGATCATTCACTAAAGCGATGGAGGGATGCACAGCTGTGGTTCACACGGCCTCGCCTTGTCCCTTGCCTGAAGAAGTCAAAGAGCCAGAAAGTCAACTCCTCAAGCCGGCCCTTGAAGGGACACGCAATGTGCTAGAGAGTGTCAATCAAACTCCCAGCGTGCTGCGCGTCGTTATAACTTCTTCTGGTATGTGCCGTTTCGAATTTCCTTTCAGACTAAATTTTCCCACTGACTGACGCGTGGTATTAATAGAGGCTGCCGCCCGTGGGTCAAACCTTGATATCATACGGGCACATGAGGATAAAACTGTCCGTGAAAGCCACTGGAATGAGACCGCCACCATAGATTGGTTGCCCTACGCCTACAGCAAAACCATGGCAGAGCGTGAGGCTTGGAAGATGGCAGAAGCTCAGAGTCGCTGGAAACTGGTCACGATCCTACCCGGTGTCGTGATAGGCCCCAGTCTTACACCTGACTCGAGCTCTGGGAGTTTGAATGCTTTGGGCATGCTGATGAACGGGACTTTCATGATGGGCACGCCTGACTTGCCCTTCCCCCCGGTTGATGTGCGCGATGTGGCTCTGGCGCATTTGAGGGCTCTGGAGCGAGAAGAAGCCCACGGCAGGTATCTGATAGCAAGCGGCAGGAGTGTACCGTGGCTTGAGATGGCTGACATGCTCCGTCCTGTCCATCCAAGCCCCTGGAAACTCCCCAAATGGACCATACCTGGGTTTTTCCTGCGTACTGTTGGCGGGTTGCTTGGGATATCAAGGAGGTATGTTGATGAAAATTTAGGCCATCATTTCTTCATGGATAATTCCCGAAGCATCAAGGAGCTGGGGATAACATACCGCCCCCTAGAGCAGAGCTTGGCAGACCATTGCCGCTCGTGGGTGGAATCACAGAATGCTTGAGGGAATTTCGGGCATGTGATGGTAAGCGAGGGGCTGTTCTGGGGGGCGGTCGGCTGCAATACGATGACATTGGATGCTACATCCAGTGTGGTAATCAGGTTTTCACTGCGTGTTGCTTTCAGTGGGCTTATTAGTCCGAAATCTTTCAGATTTTCAACGCAATTGCGTGAATTAATACATTGACTTTGTGCTCTCTTCTCATACTGGTAGCATGACAAAATTGAACTGTCAAGTTGGAAGTACCAACGTGAGACATCACAGAAGAAAGGAGGCCGGCTCAATTGAATGGAAAGGCTTGCCCAGGGCGAATTTCAGAGCATTTTCATGAATTTTGAATGGAAATGTAACCGCTTCATCACCCAGTTAAGCTGGATAACCCCTGTTGAGACCAGGGTCGATCCTTGGGCTAGAATGTAATCCAGCCAGTTGTTTATAACTTTACCAACATCAAACCAAAGCTCGGGACTCACCTGTGTCGAGTTAGCAGCGCAGCATTTTGAGGAGTTCGATTTGTCATTGCCATGATCCCATCGTGATGATACTCCCACCGTTATCCATCGTGAACTGGGTGAAATCGGGTGATATATTGGTGGATCTTCCGAGACCCCGCATGAAGCGCAGCAGCCAACCAGAAGCAGAGGCCAGGGGAAAGAAGTCAGACATTGTGTGAACTGCTCCAGCTCGTATTTGGCCTTCCTTCATTCACCTTGACGGTTCGTGCGAAGATGGACTCACGGCTCACACCGCAACTCGCAGCCTCCTCCACGGCCAGGCCCATCCACTCCGCTCTTCCCATAGAGGTGCTTCATCTGATATGCGGACATCTGCCAAATAGCGACATCAAGAATCTGCGTCTCACGTCCTCGTTCTTCGCCACCGCAGCCCGCCTGGATTTCCGCCGCGTCTTCCTGTCCGCGAACTCGAGGAACGTCGAGGTATTCCTAGCTGTAGCAAACCACAGCGACTTCCGCACTCAAGTTGTTGAGATCATCTACGACGATGCCCTCCTGCCCGCAACCGACACTCTGTGGCACGGCGGCCTCTGGCTAGGTCCAGCCCAGCCGCTCGAGGAGCAGTGTACCAAAGGTCTGCCGCCTCGTTGGATCCGCCAAGCTTGCAAGAACGACTTGGAGGCTCTCATTGAGGCGAGCGATGATGAGCGCCGACACTTCTTGGAAGATTACCTCTCGCAAAATTTGACTTGGCAGAAGCTGAGAATGTACCACTGGGAGATGACGCTGCCCTACTATTTCCAACTCCTCCGAGACCAGCAAGCCGTTCTCGACGACGGGTCATACGTGGAGGCACTGCATTTTGGCCTCGCCCAATTCCCCGCGCTTCGGAAAATCACCGTCACGGCCGCTACGCACGGTCGGCTGTTCAATCCATTATACCACACGCCAATGATCAGGCAGTTCCCGCGGGTGTTCCAGTATCCTATCCCCCACGGATGGCTAAGGCGCTGTGAGGATGTTCATACTTATCACAACTGGGCCACTTCAAGAGAAGGTTGGAATGGGTTTCGTGCTGTTATCGAAGCTTTATCGGAGAATCTTGACGGCGGAAGAGTTACAGAATTATCCGTCGATGCTCATCTGGAACATACCGGAATAGATGTCAGCTTCCTCAATACTGAGACCAAAATCTTCAAGCAATTCGAGGCTCTTCTTGCGAGAAAGGACTTTACAAGCTTGAAACTCGATCTGTCTGGCCTTAGCGAGGAGTTGACTGAGGCTGGAAATTCGGACCGATGGGATCACATGAGCAATGGTCTTCTGCGCCGCGCACTTTCTGGCGCTCGAAACTTGAGGCATCTCAGTCTTGCGACCAGCGAGGGCTGCATCCCAGGATACGGGACCTACCGCCCAACAACGCCGGTGCCGCTCAGAAGCATGATTCCCAAGAGCTGCTCTGCGCGTCTCCAGCACTTGGCACTCTGGTGTTTCTGGGTTGAAGAGAGCGATCTGGTAGCTTTTCTTAGTGAGTTGCCAGAGGAGCTAGAAACACTTGAACTAAGCTATCTCAATTTCTCCCAGGGAAGCTATCGGGGGACACTTGAGCAAATAAGGGATGGGATGGGATGGCAAAACAGAGAGAGAAAGATCCAGATCAAGGTTAGCATCCATGGAGTTGAGACATCCAATGCGCCAGTTTATGGAAAATCAATATGCATTGATGAGGAGGTACATGCATTCATCTATGAGAGCGGACCAAATCCTTTCTCGGGGAAAGAACCAAAACCAAACGCTATATTTCGCAATTTGTTGGAGGATGGGGTAGGGATAATCACTGACGCTTTTGGTTCCAAAATTCCGACGTTTAAATAGGGCATAAATTGGCAACTTTAACCACTCCATAAATAGGTAGTTCTATGAAACTCTACTCTTTTTCCTCTTGCGTCTTCCAAAGTCCATGAATGTCGCTAGAGCCATGTTTCCTGTCTCACTGCCTCGTCTTGGTCTGAGTTAAGGCAGCTTATTGCAGCTTTCCAAACATGCTACTTTGGCTTTTCTGATGTGCTTCCGAGCAAAATCATATAGTCAGATAGATTATTCAAAGATCCTCTAGGGACAAATTATCGTCAGAAGGCGGAGGTCTTGTAAGCCAACCAGTTGCATATTCTGGTAGCTTGGATTTGAGTAACTCTGCCCGCTCCCTGTCCCAGAACATGAAGCCCAACCACCGCCACTGGCGAACAATCAGTCGAGTCCAGTTTATCTGGAGGAAGGTCAGATTTCCCTGTCCCGGTTGTAGTGTTTCTCGGAACAAATGTTCCCCCCATCGCTGGCAATCAATTCCACGGTGCCCATCAACCCATGCAAATGGAGCCGATTGGTTGCCATCTTTGTCGTCTTCAACTACAAGCAGCCCAGGCAGAGCATCCTCTCGTTGGTATATCTCGTCCCGGAGGCTCCAATATTGCTCGGGGACTTGACTAGAGCTTGTCTGTGGCAGTGGGCCCGCGGCAAGGAAGTTGGAACTCGTAGGCATCATATTATGCCTTGCTTCCCGCTCCCCTTGAGATATGGCCAGTCCCATCTCTAAATCTGCCATGGTTTTATGCCCAAATTTCTCGAGGAATCTCTCACGCATCACGCCCAGATCACTCATCGCCTCTTGCTCGTCCGAGTCTCGCCACCACTCTCGCCCTGTCATGTAGACTCTCGACAAGCTTCGCGGGATTCGCTCGCAAGAGGGGAACACAAATGACGCCATTGCACGCAGGAAGCTATGGGCATCAGTAATTTGCTGAATCTCCCAGGGCCGGAAGATCTCAAGTAATTGTTCGTAGATTACTGTTCCCGCTGTCATTGCGCCGAGTGACTGTATAGATGCTAGAACTTGATGTCGGAGTAAAGCATGCGCAAGCCGCTGTCGTTCACGGAAGTTCAGCTCCCGTGCAGCATCAGGGTGTATCTCCCGCAGTCTTGGAAGTCTGGTCGCGCCGTACTGATCCACAACAAACTGCACAGCACGGCTGATTCCCACGAGCTTCGCGAATTCGACCTCTGAAAGACCCCGTGCAAACGATAGCCCACAATCCCCATGTAAAATTGATTCGTAAAGTTTGATGGCGCCCTCTGCATCTTTCCCGTCCCCAGCTCCATGTCGAATCGTTATAGGAGTTATCAAAGTCGCGGCGGTGGCGGTCAGTAAACCAGACCACCCAAGGTCCCTAGCCATGATGTTGATCAGGACAGTCCGCTTTGCAGATCGAAACACGTCGTAGACTACTCTAGAAGAGCGCACGATCGAGCACAAGTCGTCTGTATTGTGAGACGCAGAGAGTATTGCCAGAAGCACGTCGACTGGAAGGGCTTCAAGTTCTTGTCTCGAGCCCTTACCAGTGCCTGTTGTGTCATGCCTGGTAGACATGTTCCAGTACGGGGAGATGGTTTGCGCCAGGTGTCCTCGGGTGATTTCACGTTTCTTTCTCTATCTATCGCGCCTTCACCCGACTCCGGTTCTTCTCTGGTAAAAATTAAGTTCTCAATTTTGGAGGGTGGCAGTATTGGGCAGAAAGTGAGGCGGGGATGTAAGACATTGCTCTGTGTATGGCCCCATTTAACCACCAATGATTGGATGCATGATTTCTACGTGCATCTTGAAATACCAATGGCTCAGATTTACTGGATATCCTCTCTGTTATAACCAGGGGGGTCAACAATACAGCCCTCGATTAGATTAGGGAAACGCTTCTAACAGCCCGCCAGCCGAACTCACTTTATATATCGGAATATCCCAGAATCGGAATATATACCTGTTCGTTAGGAGAACTTTTCCAAGCCGTCGCCACTTCTATATTCGAAACTAATCTTGGAAAGGGGGACAGAAGGCACCCAGCAAGGGATGGCAATGGCGATAGTTCGCCGTTACTACGTATTACAATTGCAGATAGAGGTCAGCCAAGCGATAGATTAACCTAAGCGTTCTATTATGCTATGAGAGATCCTATCTTCCCTACTATACATATCACTCCGACAGGTCCCACGTAAAAACTCAGCAAGACACAAACGATCGGAATGAACAAACTTGATAATCACACACACTAACCAGCCGCCTTTCAAGGCTACTCACAAGATGACTAGTTTCCATCCCAACGGTCCTTGGCTTGGAGAGACACAATGGGAGTGGAGAAATATTGAGGGCAGCGATGGGGTATTCGCCATGAGGCGGGCGAGGGCCGGTTTTGGAACTAAAATATCGAGTTGGGGAATTATTTTATACCCATTCCTCAGACTCTTCATCGTAGTAACGAGGGCGAGGAGCATGGGTTGGCGCACACCTTGAGCTAGTTGAGCTAGCGGAAGATGACTTTCTAATGTCTGGTCGGGCGCGGCCGCGGCGGTAGAGTCCTTCATCTTCATCGATGTAACGAGGACGATGGGTTGGTCCACTCCTTGAACTACTAGTAGCCGATGGCTTTTTAACGCCTGGTCGAGCACGGCGATAGAGTCCTTCATCTTCATCGTAGTAACGAGGACGGTGGGTTGGTCCACTCCTTGAGCTAGTAGTAGCCGATGGCTTTTTAATGCCTGGTCGAGCACGGCGATAGAGTCCTTCATCCTCGTCGTAGTAACGAGGACGATGGGTTGGTCCACTCCTCGAGCTAGAAGTGGGTGATGGCTTTTTAACACCTGGTCGAGCACGGCGATAAAGTCCTTCATCCTCGTCATAGTAACGGGGACGATGGGTTGGTCCACTCCTTGAGCTACTAGTAGCCGATGACTTTTTAACGCCTGGTCGAAAGCGCTCCTCAAGCTCACGTTCCGCGAGCTCAATTTCGAGGGTCAAGTCACGCTCCTCAAGGTCTTCATCCTGAGCTCTCACGGAAAACAGCAGAGTTTCCAAGTCAGGTTCAGATCTCAGGGAAACGCCGTTATCTTCATCCGCCACGGCAGCCAGTGCAGGGCAGGAAATAGTGAGAAGGCCAGCGGCAAGCCCGAGGTGTTTAATTGCAACCATTTTCAAATAAATCTAGGAAAGAACACGGCGTTGAAAGAAATGTGGAAAAAAAGGTGAGTGAAAGAGATTCAAGAAACAGGGAAAGGGGCTGAAGTTGGAGCTCAGAGGGTATTTTCAGTCTGATTGTTTTCATTGATATCATTCTGCACAGAATACTGAAGTAGGCCGTTGGTTTTATACTTTAAATTCGAGAATGCACTCCCATAAGATAACCAGGTATGTTATATCATCATCTCCATGCTTGTCAGCTGCTGCTTCATACAGGTTGCTACATGTAACATTAATCAGAAATGGCATGCAAGCGAAATCTAGATTTAGAACATGCGTTACTGGAACTATTGTTAGATCTGTCAATGCAAGATGCATGAGACAATCCGTCTTACATGATGAACTGACAGTTGAGTAGGGTTTCCATTCCCTCTTCTTCCAACCCCATGAAGAAAAAGGTGCATGTTCCAGCGTGGTGGTACGATTTTGGGCCATAATGGATACATGATACTACCTCAGGGCTGAAACCCTTGACGAATGCACATTGGTCAGTTCCCCGAATGATTGAGGGAGGTGGTAAGGGATGTGGGCAGTAAGCAGAAAACAGAGATCAGCCTGCATCAATCTCTTGCCTCTCGAGGCGAATATCCGACCAAAAGGGATTTTCTTTCATGATTAGATAGCAATTCAAGGGCTTGACGACCTCATGGAGTCTCCACTCTGTTCGTAAATCATTTATCACTACCCATGCAAGTGGAGGGGCCACAGTGAAGTCAGGAAGTCAGCCTTATTTATTCCCACAGGATTCAGTAATAAGATTGCTTCTTTACCTAACTCAGTCAAGTATTGCAAAATGCTTGAAGATGTTATAATATCTGTTGGCTAGGTAAGCAGTGAAGCTCCCCATAACCAACAGATAGAGGATTTCTTGGAATTCTCTTTTCAGTGGACTACCTCGTCGGAAAATGCTAACTAAGATGCAGTCTCTACTCTTGTTCTTAGAACCAAAAATATGGAGGCTAAACGTCTTGCCTCTTGATATAGACCAAGCATCAGACAAGTGATGCCACTGAGTTTCAGTGGATGAAACTGAAGGAATATCGCTTACGTTGCACCATGAAACATTCCACCGTAACTTCATTGGGGTGATCATTCAATTACAAAGTCGAAATGTGGCAGCTGAGGTTCACCAGTCGGCAAATGTCCCATCGAACCACCCCCTTCCACTCCTCCCGCCTAGTTCAAACAATACAAGCTGTAGATAGTCATATATAGTTCTAGATAGGCGCCCTTTGCCCTCGGGACCGCACGGCGTTAATAAACAATAACAGCAACCACAACAGTCGGCAAATGTGATCACACTGCATTAGAGGGAGTGTACATGAATCGTTAGGGCTCCTTTGTAACCCCGCTTAGATAGTATGGTTTCGGGTCTGGGCATAAGCTTACATGCCCAGCCACAGCAACCGGGATATGAATCATGCCATTCCAATTTCTAGTGCTTTTTACCAGAATAGGAAATCCACTGCGCAATATACCCAACGCAGTATCATTCTGCGCCACACACGGTTTCTGACCCATCACGAACGATGAGCGAACAGATGACAATCGTCTTCGGGTGCAAAGGTTGGCGTAATGGCCGAAACTAAGGCTCCAAATAATTCCCAGATTGATAATCTACTTCAATGAATTATAGATAAATAATGGTTACAAGAGCAGATTGCCGAGCTTGGCTCTGAGTATATATGAATCGTGTATTACTTGATGGAACGAATACAGGTGTTAAAGGTGGAAGAAGTATTTGCGATACAAACCTGCCCTCGGTCTCTCCATAGTGCCACCTCTGTGGATCTGGGGTTGCGGCCTTGGAGCTGGGAGAATGCCACAAGGCTATTTGACTTTCTTGCGAGCTTGTCTAGTGAGGATGTATCTGAATGCGAATTGAAGAAGACTACGGAGTAGTTACTTCCTATTGCTGAAACTGGCCTACACACCTAACTGACGGACAAGAAGCCTTTTTGGTATGGAGACGAACGGTTTTACGGACCGATGGAGCCAGAGACGTAACAATGATCTTGTGCTCTAATGAATCGGTGAGAAATGGGCGAACAAACAAAAGGGTGCGGGCAGTTGGATCCTCCTTTCATACATCCAGACATTGGCTTTGAACACTATTTAAACATCCAAAATATGGCAACAAAATTTATATTCCAAGATATTCACATTGATTCGTGATGGATGGGTAAGGTGTCCAGTTTACCTATTAATTAAGCGAAACACCAGTCAAATTCATCGCCCCATGATAACGAAATGCCATGATTTGAATGTGGCAGTAGAATCCATTTGGTAGTGGCTACCCGCCGTTTGGTTTCGCCCGCAGGGAATCATACGGGGTACTTTTAGCCGCCCACGGTAAAGGAGGAGCCCTCTCGGTCCCGTCTATCCGTATACGGTAGGCGAGGTGTAATAAGCGTAGATTGGCATGACGACTACAAGCATTCAGATCCAGCCCTTCACATGCCTCGGCTCACCAGGCTGGACTTAATCTTAGCCACGTGTAGCTAAGCCTAGAACTACCGAGTCCGTCCCTATAGCTCCATCATTGAGTAATAACACGACCTTAATAAGCGGAGACCAGGAGGAGCTTTCGTCTCATGTCAGCCGTAGGCTTAATTTCCTGTATGTGTTGCCGCGCAGGGGGGCGGCCGATGCAGGGTTCATCATCTGATGATCCACCACAAGCGGCCCGTAAGCTTATAGGTGAGGGATTCCAAGACTTAAGTGAGAGAGAAATCAAGCTTAGTGCCGCTTAGCATGGGCCACTATTACGCAGTGCCGGGTGTGTGATCTTAGAAGTTCAGGTAGTCTAAAGGAAACGATGGGAAAGAATAGAGAGAAGCCGTCGATTACAGCTAGCATATGAATACCATTCATAAGAAAAACGAGAAAAGAGCAGTCGGAATGTACTTTAGTTAGAGGCGAAAACAATGTCAGGCTTTCATGGGCTAAATCAAGATCATTCCCTCGATTCCCCGAACCCAGGAGACCGTTCGGTATTTAATGGTCCCTTGTCAGGGAATGTGGCTACGGAGTAACGGCAGTTCACACGTAATGCAACCCCGGCAGATGCATAGGTGTTCGTTCTACCGCGGTCTTTCATTGATCGGTTAGTCAGGTGATCGATCAACTACTACGTAGGTATAATGAAACCAAACCGGCTATCGCATCCTATCAGCTGCCGCATAAACCAATACACCCCTCAGCCCCTCTCGACTCTTCCAAGCCAGCAACGCGAGATTAGCCACCACATCAAACATTCCCTCACAAGCTACGGATGACTGCTGATCCTCTCACCGCACGCGAAACAGCCACCGATCCTCATGTAAGAGTCAATCTAGTGAAAATCCACCATCCATGTCATATCCGAGAACGAAGACCAGTCCTTGTTCGCCAGACCCCGCTCCCCGTCAGAGCTTAAATTATCAGCGGGCAGGGGCCTAGGTTTAAATTTACGACCCAGGACTGCAAACCTGATCCATCAACTCCCGTATTCGCCCCAGGAGCATCCTCTGCCGCATGCCTTTCGCACGGGGCGGGTATCATGAGTGCTCGCTGGTCAGAAACTGAGGAGGATTTTATATTTATGTCCCGGGAACGAGGAGTCGATTGGCGTCAAATTTTAGAACGGCTTCCTGGGAGATCTGAAAGTCATTGCCGCAATTACTACGAATACTGGGCAGGCAGACGGGCTGTAGAAGACAGGTTCATTCTCAAGCTGCGAGGCCGAGGGGCGGAATGGGATGAGATTGCCGAACAGATACCAGGGAGAAGTCCGTTCAGCTGTTCAGAATATTACAAACACCATCAGGATCTACAAATCTCAGAGAGAACCAAAAACCAGTTCTCGGAGGTATATCATAGGTGCGTGTGTGGGTTTCCATCGAGGTGAAGATGTTACTCAGGTAAAAGACGCTAACATCTGCCAGGTTGAAAGGGGAGATGTGGAAACAAATAGGAGACGAGCTGGGTGTCGGGTGGCGTGCTGCTGAAGCAATGCACTGGCAACTGGGCGAACATGAACTAGAAAGGCGAGCCAACCTCAGAGTCCGCCCAGGAGGAGAGGAGCATACCAAGCATCCATGTCAGGCGAGGGACAAAGAACAGCACGAGGCTGGTGAGAGTGACAACTCTTCCCAAACGCATGAATTTTATGAGTGGGAGATTCCCCCATTATCCCACTCGGTCATGGTCATGAATCGCCGGTATTACTGCAGGGTGCCCAAATGCAAAGGAAGCACGTGCACGTGGGAGCACTGTACCAGCGAGAACTGTCCTGGGGAGCTTTGTGACCGGTCCTTCTCTTCAGAAGGAAGTAGCAGGTAAAGAGCCTCCGGCCTCTAATTTTTGCGAGTTTCTTCCAGGCTAACAATATCTGGTAGGAAACACTTGCGTGCTCACTTCAAACCAGTCCAATGCCCGTTCTGCGAACGGAGGGCCTCGTCTCAATCCGAGATGAGGAGGCACATCACAACTCATAAAAATAAGCAAGACGGGAGACATTCTCATTTCTGCCCGTTTTGTAAGAAAGGCTTGACGAGGAAGGATAACCTACGGCGGCATATAAGGATGAAACACGGCGCGACCGATTCGACGACGCCTTATATGTGATTTCCATCACTTCCCTCGCCCTAGCTCCCAACGGAGCTTTGAACAGTGGTGAAGACCTAGACTCCCTACTGAAACAAGAGATTTTCAGTGGAAATACGATTCAACACACCAAACTACAGAGCCTACATCATGTGCACGCTGCATTCCCCACCGACACAACGATGGAAACACCACGAAGCGAACATGGCAAAAACAAAGGATTAAAGATCAAAGATACCATTCACGACAAAAATGCAAAAGCTATTACCTACAACAGCCGGTATTCGCTGGTCGTCACCGACCCAACTACTAATCGGCCCCTTGCCAGCTTAACGTGCGGAGAGCAGACGGGATCCAGTGCTGTCTAGCAGGTATGGTCGTAGATGGAAGAGTCGGGCGGTATGTGCCTTATATGGATAGGTTCTCCCTTCAGTTATCAAGGCTCAGCGTGGCCAATGACCCTGACTGCAAGTCAGTCTACTATGATACATAAGTGTGTTATGGCAACAACCCTAGTTCTATGAGCCAGAAACCATTTCCTCTACGTTCTCTAAAAATTATGAAGTACAAAAGGAAAGGTTCAACGAAGGTCTTGATAAAAATAGTACATTGAATCGTATGATAGATTGCTCCAAGCTCTTAGAAATAATATCAGTCATCAGTTCCGTCCTAGTAGAGGAAAAGAGAGTACAGGTAGAAAAGGAAAATAATTAAACAATAAAGGCCAGGCTAAGTCATCAAATACATTAGGAAAGAGTTCTTAGTAAACTCGATGAGTAAAAACACCAGACTTTTAATCCCACCTCAGATGTCCGATGATTCCCGCTTAGTGCTCTCCACTAAAGGATGAGCAATATCCAAGGCAGAGTCCATGAACTTCTTGGACAGCTCCCGGTTGACATTCCCCCTCTGCATCTCCTTCAATGTGCTGTCCATGCTCTCGAGGAGAGGCACGATGGCACGCAACAGCTGCTTCTCCACGCTGTTGTGGGAGGAAATAGCAGCTTCCCCCTCGACGCTGGCTTCTGACGTAGGCGTCTTGTCGCCATCGGTTGCATTTGCGTTGAGCACCTTGAGCGTCTTGCTGGTGTGCCTTTCGCGGATCCGCCTGTTTTCCACTTCCGAGTGGGCATCGTCCTCTACATCGTCCTCGTCCATGTATATGTCCAGCTCCCTTCGCATTCTCTCCTTGAGTGCCGCCAGGCGCCAGTCATGCGCCGTCTGCTTTTGGTGTGCTGTGAGCCACTGGGTCTCTTTGTCCTGTGAGGTTGTGGACGACGTTCTGGTGGAAGACTCGGGGCTCTCCTCGATACCTAGAGAGGGTGCACTGTTCCGGGGAGAAGGTTGAGAGTCGCTCGGCGGCGGGGAAGTGAAGATGGTCGAGATATTCGAGATGCTGTTTCGTTTGGAGGACGTCTTAGTGTTGACAGTCAAGTCGAGCGGGTTTTTTGAGACCCGGATGGGAAGAGGGCGTTGGCGGATGTTGGCCTTTTCTGGCCGGAGATTGGACCGTGGAGGGAGGCTCGGGGGTGACGATCCGGTAGATAATAGGGATAATGGGCGGAGAGAGGATGTTGGTGACCGCGCCTCGATACTTGCAACTACCATGATCGGGGTCATGCTCAACGCTGTAATAGGGGGCGCTGGAGCATCCTCAGGCACAGGCTCGAGCTCATTATCGAAATCAGGCTCAGTCGTCTCCACCATGATTGATGTAAAAGTCCAGGCTTGTGAAGGTGGTGTTTTGGGCGAGTTTGCTTCCTGAACAGTCTCCGGAATCAGCTGCACAATGTTTTGTACCGAGGATCTCCGGAGCTTGTGGCCCGGGCCGTTTCCGTTGGCTGTCTTGGACACGTCCGTTGAGGTAGAGAACTGCTGTGCAAGGGGTGAAGAGCCCTGTAGGCCTTTACGAGAGGGTGCGTGGTGAGGAAACCAGCCAAGAACAGGTGAGTCTACTATATCAGCCATGTGGTCATGTGGCACCGTCAGGCTTGGCTTGGTTGCTTCGAGATCCCTTTGTAGCTTCTCGCGCACCTTGTTTCTCCTTGCCATTCTTCTCTCGGCAAGACTAGTTGCCGTCGCGCTCGTCCCGGCGGAGGAAAAAGAGCGCAAGGATCCAGTCATACTCGACCTCTGGGAACGGAACGGAAGCCTAGTCTCGCTGAACGATTCTACCGAATCTCTGTTTGACCGTCTGCCAATCTTCTCCGTCACTTCAGTCCTTTCACTTAACCCACTCGTAGCCGAGGTAACGCTTGCAATTGAGTGTCGATGGCTGTCACTCATGACTGCAGGCGGCAAGGAGGAGTCTACTGTGCTGACCGTTGATTGCCGGTGAGGGTTAGAATCAGTCAGGTCCACGGACTCTTGTGATGACCTCCTATCCTTCTTTGATGACGACGTTCCATCTACATCGAGACCCGACATGTTGACAGAGACATGAGCAGAGTGGAATGAGGCTTCATCCTCCAGACTTCTCCCGCTAGATAGGTCCGTGGGAAACGTACCATGATGTGTTGACATGTACAACGGGTGTGTGGCACTCTCAGACTTGCATTGCCTCAGCGGCGGTCGCTCTGGCTGCATAAGCCGTTGGTCCAGGTTAGATTGAGGAGGGGGGTGTCTCGACAAAGGGCTCAGGGATGGGGGCGTTGTAGGGCCCGTTGATGAAATACTATTGGATGCGGAGTGTGATCGAATGCTTTCGGGTGGCGATGGGAATGACATGGCTGCCAACATGTTCGGAAATCCAGGAGACTCGGGGAATAGATTCGGTCCTTGCGGTACCTCCAGCATCGACTTGACCATGATGTTACCTGGTTTCTTGGTCGGTTTGGGCGACTTTGGAGACGTCATTTGCGACGACTTCGAGTTAGGAAAAGCGGAGAGCTTAGCACTTTCAGGAGACTTCGGCGACGCAGTAGATAACGCATCAGCTCCCTTGGGACCACCGTGGAGAGCGCTTGCAGCATCCGGGAAGCTCATTTTCTTTGCATTGATTGGCGGTGTAGCCGGGAGCTCTAGGAGAGGCGCTCGCCTTTCTTCCGTGGCGGAGGGAGAGGGCCGAACCTCGATCTTGGGAGCAGGAGAGCTGTTTGGGCCGAGAGCGCTGAGAACAACGACGCCTGAATCTTCCGCCTGGTGGTTCGAGCCATTCACTGAAGCAGGTTTGCTGTTCGGGGATACGGCCTCGCCGTGCTGGATCTCAAGCCATTCGTCCACCAGCCTCATAAAGGACTTCACGCCACGGTCCGCAGTGGTGACTTTGATTGATAGTCGAAAGGAGTTCGGGTCTTGTTGACTCGGGTGTCTCGATACAACAGCCGCGACGTCGCCCGCCTTGGTCGTGTTTCGGTCGAGAAATCTCTGCGTGTTGGAGCTCGTATGGCTCTTGGGACTGTGGAGATCGTGCGACGACCTGGGGGCCAGAGACTCGGTATCGATGGCGCTCAAGCGCGAGACAAGGTGCGACCTGTGGATGGCTGACAGGCGAGACTGAAGGGATGCTCGTCGATCCGAGACAGTGGGCGCCGCGGGTGGTGCGGGAACAGATATCGCAAAGTACGAGTGCCCAGCCGCAGTTGTCCGCCTCGTGGCGCGGTCGCCCAGATTGAGTGAAACAGGACGCTGCTGCATCTTGCTCCCTCTGCTGCCTGCCCTCAAAGACCGTATCGACCACCTTCGGTTCTCCCCGGGTCCATTGCGACCAAAACAATCCTCCACCAAGGGGGTGTTGGGAGCCGCGGGAGGGCCAGTGTTGCGCAGAAACTGGGCGAGCTCCCTCAGACTCTCCCGGTCAACCTGCTCACGCGCGATGTCGCGGAAGGCCGACTCGAGGTCCTGGTTCACGTCCTTCCCGAGGGCGTGGTGGTTGAGGCCGGCCGGGGTGGATGTTCTTCGAGGTACCGTCGATCGCTGAGTCCTGCTCGCGGCTCTTTGGGGTGCTTCGAAGTAGAATCGAGCCGGCTGCGGAGGCCCGTTTTTGCCATTCTCGCCGAGTGACAGGCTCCGCAGCCGGGATTGTGTAGACGTCATGAGCGGTGCAGCGATGTCTTTGACGACCACATCAGCACATCCATGTAGGCTGTCTCTGAGCTCTGCGCATCTTGAGGTCAGTAAAACAGGGACGGTTGCCGGCGGAAAGGTCCCAGATGGTTCAAGATCTGCTTTGACTTACAGCCTGACCAGCCACACCAGGTTTGATTCGAGTACAAGGCCAGAAAAAATCAGAGGTTCCAAGCTCCCTTTGAATAGTCGCGTCAGCCCAGTCGTATGATTAATCTCCAATGATCCTCCGTCCAAGGCTGGCAGAACACTCAAGCTAGGAAGCGGGAGGCTGGCCGGCAGAGTGGATGGCTGGTGAGTCGTTTTGTGTCGGTGCCAGAAGGATCGAGCTGTAGCCAAGGGAGTGGCGAGGCTGGAGTGGAGGAAGGACTACGATGTACCGCAATACACGAAAGCAGATCAGGGTCAACCAGAAAGAGCGTATCGGCAAACAATCAGATTAACAGAACGTGTGAGCGATGGGAGAGGAAGAGAGAGGGGAAGGACTTCCCGACAGATGACGACGGATGGCGACGAACTAACTTGAGCTCTCCTCCTCTGCTCTGCTCGGGTGCTCCCTCGCTCCACACACGCACATCCATCGGGACATCACATTGCATCGTTCCTGGGAATGAAGAACAGCTAATTTGCACTACACGAACTAGCATCTAGCCCGCCGCCCCTTGTCCGTGGGGAACAAATTGTGACAAGAGCTCTCGTGGGAGCGATTATGCTCACCTCGAGGGCACAGACGTGGGGTCCATCACACTGCAAGCTCCTCTTATGCAAGGGTTCCAAAGCTCAGATCGACAGTGGGATCTTTGGGCTGTGTGGTCAGGGACCCCAATCGAGAATAGATGCCATGATTAGTCCCCTGCGCTAGGTCACTGTCCATCACCTTTCAGTCGAACGCTTTCTTTTTTTGAATGGCGACGGCCTCGACCGCGTATCCAATCTCCTTTCTCCTCAGCTTGCGCTACTGGGCACCTCTTTGTTATTGCACCTTGCAGCAGTCCCACACCACCACTCTCAGCCCCCCCTTTACCCCTGAACGACCCCAAAGGTTGAATGTAGCTACGCCTGATGGCCTACGAAAAGCCAAACTCAGGTGATACGCACATCGACCAACTTACCCTTCCCCATTTCCCCCCAAGAACTACCATGTGCTAGCTCACGGACATGATCGATAGCAATCGACGGCCGTCCATGGATACTCCGCTTCCCTGCTGGTCAAGTCAGAGGAAACCGAATCCGAGCGGACGGGATCGTTCACAAGAGACTAATCATAGCGCCTCCATCCGCGTCGAACTCATCAACCAGCCCCGCCGAGGGCAACCATGCCAAGAATGTCAGTGATCACCAGGAACACACCCTATCAGGAGCGACACCCGGGCCCGCGCCCCAAAGAAATTTAAATACAGCGCCTGCTCCTGCACCCGAGTAAATGGGGATCGTCATGTCCGGCGCGCACTGCAGATCTACCATCTAGTAATCTGCAATCGCTTGCATATCGCGCCTGTGCCTGTTGAGCAAGGCGCGACGAGAACATCGGCAGGCTGTCGCCATCCCGCTGAGAAAAGGGGTGATCTGCATCAGACATTGTTGAGTGCTGTCTTGTCTTACTGTCTCAGCCGGGAAGCGAAAAAGAAAAAAAGAGAATCAGATGCAGAAAAAGAAAGGAATGGAAGAAAAAATCGCACAGGGCTGCCTTCTGCGCCTTACTTATTAACTATCTACCAGGGTATGGTCACCGAATGCATCTGAAGGAATTCAGTCCCTTGCGAGCTTCATATCGCTAGACCACATCAGGGACATTCAATCATCGACACTCGAGTGACAGAATTATTTCTCCGAAGAATGTCGCACACAGCATCACTCCTCCAGCCGAGACCGGCATGGTTCGGATCCATGTCGGGAGCGACGCCCGACAATTTAGCGAGGTCGCATGTAGGCCGCTGTGATTGTGCTGGCTTCTTTGATCGTCATTGTGATCGGAATTTGTTGAATAGATTGTCGGACATTCGCATGTGACATCAGTGTGTGGTCTTTTCATGGTTCAATGCACCATCCTCGCATTTGAGTAATTCTCGACTCGACTCTAAACAAACTTGTAATGTATTTGATCTTGGTACATATTGTACTATTGTAGCAGGTATGAGTGAGCTAGATCAATTATCATCATGGCCAAAATTCCAGTTCTAGCTGGCATGTTGCTCTTTCATTCAGCTATAGGGTAGTTGGTATTCTAAGGTGAAAATGGGACAAACTGTCCCTCAATGTGTACTGGTTGTGTGTGAGGGTTTTCATTCGTAAGGCAATGTGATATTAATTTTTCATCAGGGTATCATGATCAAAGAATATTTAATCTCTAGCGACTGGACACCGGAACGATCAACTGAATAACTTTGGGGTTAATCGAGCAAAGGATCTGATTTCTCAATATGCAGTCTAGGGTAGGACAGTGATCAGAGTGCCGCTGATTGTGGCTGGTATCTAGTGGCTGATGATGTCAAGTGCCATGGCGGTGATTGAGGCTGAATTAGCTGCGCCACACTCGTATTCTTGGCTCCAAGCTGAAACAGCCGTGATTCAGTCTCCCTCGTAAGCAACACATCATCCCCTTGGCGGCCACAGACTTTGGAAAGTTAAGGTTAAGCAGGAATGCCAAGATAATGGTGCCATGGAGGACCCTGATGAGCATGCCGTAGATCCGAACAATGGGTTATTCAACGCCATGCTTGGGCACATGAGGACGTGGCCCCAAAGCCATGGATGCCAAGACGCTCCTCATTGGACCCTCTGTTACGAGCCAAGAGCTCCCCAGTAAGCTTGATTGGTGATTGAGCTACCCTTACAGCAAAGACGTGACACAAGTTACTGGATCAGCCACTGGCCGCGTCATGCGGAGGCGGAATTGGGTACCAAAATCAACGGTTTCCATGGAATGCTCGCCTCACCTATTAATACAGTCGGTATACATACGGTGTGCTACCCCTCTTGCTCGCCCAAGCTTCGTACTTGGCCCCTCATCTTTCCACCACGTCTGCATTCATCGTACTTCCCCTTCAAAGCCACCCAGCATCTTATTTCCCACCGTATAGCAAGCAAAAGAACACCATGACCAACTATAATAATAACAACAACAACTACCAGGGCGGAGGCCACCAGCCGCAGGGCGGCGAGGCCGGCAGCTACTACAACAGCGGCCGCAACGACGGCCCCCAATACGGCGGCCAGCAACAACAACAACAATACGGCCAACCCCAGGGTGGCTACGGCGGCCACCAAGGGGGTCCTCCAGACTACAGCTCGGGAGGCAACCAGAACCGTCCCCCGCCATACGGTGGCCAGGGCGGCCAAGGCTACGGCCAGGACAACAAACCAGACTACCAGCCGCACCCTTCCCAGAACGAGGGCTGGGGCAATGAGAAGCGTGACGACCGACGGGACGACCGACGAGACGACCAACGAGACGACCGACAGAATAACTACGGTGGTTCCGGCCCCAACGAGGACGGACCCGACGGCGAGCGAGGCGTCCTGGGTGCCCTTGCCGGTGGAGCTGCCGGAGCCTTTGGCGGCCACAAGCTTGGCGGTAAGGCAACTGGCCACAGCAAGACCAGTGCTGTCGTCGGTGCCCTCGCCGGTGCCTTTGCCGGACACAAGCTGCAGGACGGCGTGTCTGACTGGAAGGACGACCGCGACGACAAGAAGGAGGAGGAGAAGCGGAGGAAGGAAGAGGAGAAGCGCAGAGAGGAGGAGGAGAAGCGACGACGAGACGAGCGACGAGACGACGACCACCACGGACATCATGGCGGCCGTCGTAACAGCCGCTCCAGAAGCCGTTCCAGGAGCCGCGACCGTGGTCACCATGGCGGCGGCGGCGGCAACTTCTCCGCGTCGTCAGAGGACGTGTACCTCGAACACGGACGCATCCTCAAGGCTCGGTGCCGCGCCGACGGATCGCTGCGGGACAGCTCCCTCAACCTGGACGACGTCCTGGAGAACGACAACGGCCGGTTCCGCTGGGTCAGCGGAGGCAGCGGCGGAGGCCACGGCCACGAGGGCGGCAGCTGGACTGTCCGGCCGGGCGACACCCTGCGCACCATTGCGTCCAACTACAGCGTGTCGTGGGAGGAGATTGCCCGCCACAATGGCCTGAGCAACCCTGACCTCATCCACCCCGGCCAGGTGATCCAGATCCCTGGGGGTGGTGGCGGCCACCACAGCCGCGGCGGCAACTTCAGCGGGTCTGCGCGCGATGCTCGCCTTCGTGACCATGGTCGTAGGCTCGAGGCTGAGCTGCGCCGGGACAATGGTGACTGGGAGAGGGCCGAGATCAACTTGGACGAGAGGATTGGCAACATCAACGGATCCCTGCGACTCGTCTGAGTGGGTGTAGCATGTTACTTAGCTTGATAGCTCTCAGTCGTATCAATCATGACGTTCCCAATGAAGAAAAAAAAACATTCTAGTATGCATTCATCGGATATATCGCTGTTATACTTGATTTTAATCCATGTTGATAAGCTTGGCCAGCTCTTCGAGAGCATACCTGAGCAGTCGTTTGGAAGGAGTGTGTACAACGTTTGTTAGTCTTGCTGAGCGTAAATACAACTAAGATGTCACCGTTTGGAAGATATGTGAAGTGTCTGGAGATCGAGGCCAAGCCTTCGAATCGATTGTTCTTTGCAATCGACTTGTATGACTTTCTGGCCTGCTTTCATATTGATTGCCCGTCAAACAGAGACTCTGTCTCCTGACCCGGCTGAATCCCCTCGAAGAGGATACTCGTTCATCTGAATTAAATTATGTACAAGAATGCTAATATCTGGACAGTCGTTCACTCTTAGAAAATAGCACCATCAAACGAGCTCGCGCCCATTAATCATCTCCTTCATTAGCCTTTTAGTAAGGGGCTTGTCCAAGGCTAAGAGCACCATTAGTATTTGGAATATACCAAACATGAGTGAATGTTTTACGTACTAGTTACCGACGGGGTCGTAGTGAGCGACCACGTAGACACCGCCCTTAGAGTCAGTTGCGCTGGCGATACCGAACTTGGTAGTTGACTTCCAAACATTTTGGGCTATTACAATATGAGATTAGAGACAGGCCAGACGATGAATGCGAACAGGGAGATGGGTAGGAGAACATACTGTAGTGGCCGATGGAGCTAAGGTTGTCGTTGGTGACAGAACCGCCCTTGTAGTTGCTCTTTTCGCTGTTCCACGAGTTGATGGCATCGGCAAGAGGAGTGCTGCTTCCACTGGCCCAGTACAGGTTCTCGCCAGAACCTGAGTGCTGTAGTTTACCAACGGTGGTGAGGTAGGTAGCCCATTGCTGGGCAGAAGCGACAAGCTCTTCATCCCAGGCCAGAGCGGAGGTGCCAACATCAGCACGGGCGGCGTTGATGGCGTTGAGAGCGTTGGTCTGATCACCAGTGAGGTTGTCGTTGGAGGTGGAAGACTTGCTGTCGGTGGTGGTGGTAGTGGTGGTTGTGGCGGCAGCTGCAGAGGTGGTAGTCGCAGCCTCGGACGCGGAAGCGACGACGACGACAGTGGCGGGTGAAGATTCGGATGAAGGCGAAGACGAGATTCTACTCAAAAGAGTGCTCTGGGGGGTACCATCTTCCCAGGTGGAAGTAGAGAAGGTGGAGGATGGGGCCAAGGTGGTGCTTGGGGTCTCCACGGCAGTGGTGGAGGGTTGCGAAGTAGTAGAAATGACGATAGTGGTAGGAATCACGACAGAGGTGGGAGTCTGCACGGAGGTAGGAGTCGGCACGGAGGTAGGAGCCTGGACAGAGGAAGTGGTCTGGACAGAAGATGGCGTCTGAACAGAAGAGGGAGTCTGAACCGAAGAGGGAGTTTGCACAGAAGAGGGAGTCTGCACAGAAGAGGGAGTCTGCACAGCAGTGGAGGTCTCGATAGCACTCGAGGTGGTGGCAAAAACGCTGGTGGTCTTGCGAGTGCACTTCTTGGCCGCAGCTCCGGCGACCAAGAGGGAGAAGAGAAGATTGGTGACTTGCATCTTGAAGGTAGAAAGTATGTTAACTGTCGCCGGGGCTGTGAGTTTGCTTGAAATGAGTGTGTTTTGAAAGAATGGCTATGGGATAAGAAACCCAAGGAAAGGAATGACAAGACTTGACGACGAAGTTGGTGATTCCCTCAAGAGCAGAGAGGAGGCCACGGCCTCTTTGTTAAATTCACTCGATATGCAGGAGACCAACACTCAACGCCACATGCAGTAAGCTCCCATGTGAATTGGGATTGTGTGCAGCGGTCTTGTTGTTTCAAGTCTGAACTAGCTGGGAAGTCCTCAAATCTTGGCAGGCCGATCCTTGCCCATATGGACCAGATGGGTTTTTTCCCTCAGACCATCAGCCTATCAGGGTCTCTAACAGGCAGGCCGCGTACCGAAGTGACCGAGGAGGCATCCATCCCATCCTCTTGAGCATCGGCACCAACCGATCGTTCCTGGCGCACATCAAACAACTGAACCTGGTAGTAGTGCTGCTTCATGGGAAGAGGGAGAGAGTGAAGATTTACATAGTACAATCAAGATAACCACTGTGCTGAACGATCTAGGTAAAAAACATGTAATATATGCGGATGACGACTCTGTTGCCCTGCATGGTCTGGCAATCATCTCATTTTCGATGTCGGCCCAGCGTATAGGTCCAACAAATAGCTCCGCTCTTTTAATATGCATTCGCAATTTTTCGTCGCACCCGCATATTTCCAAGGCAAGAGAGATCTTATGTAATTAATTAAGGGTCAAGAAGGATGAGGGGCCGGGTGGTGAGCCTAGTAAGCACATGTTTCAGATGCCGCCTTTCAAGATCAATTGCGCGGCCCATTTCGATCCTTGGATGGAAATCAGGAAAGAAAGACCACCAGCTGTGTTCCTGATCTCTCTCAAAAAGAGAGATAAATCAAATAAAACAACTATCAAATCAATGTCTAATTGGCAGTAACAAATCCGGGAATCCAAGCTCGGGGAGGTCCAAATGGGGAGGCCGAATGTGATTGAGGCACAGAATTTGCCTCTGCATGCCAGAAGAAATTAGCTGACAATGATGCGAGAAAGGATCTTACGCAAGATCGCTCTAGCATCTCGCCACCAACGAACTACGAGGAAGGCATTGAGAGAACAAGAGTCGGGCAAACAATACTTCACAATATTTCGTTGACACTTATCTTCATTTTCGGAATGCTTGCTTGAACCTGCTTTTAGTGTGCTATGATGGCAAATGCCGAACCTTTCTCGCCACAGCCAACCAGGAAACGCTCCCTAACAATTTAAGGAGTGGAGAGCCTCGGCCTCTTGTCTCTCATATATGCCTCCAGACATACGACGGCCTCTCATTTGGAGCAGCTTACGTGTACAAGATCGGCCGTGACTTAGTGATATACATATGAATGGGAGAGCAGAGAAGTCAATTCTAGTGATTACTTTCGCCCAGAATAATTTCTCAGATCTTGTACCTAGCGGTCTTCATTCTAAGCACCCTGACGCCAACGATGGGCAGTGTCGCTCCGTGTAGGACTAGTTTCATGTCCATGGTACACCTTGGTCTCAAATTGCTCGGCTCGGAAACGTTTAAAGGAAATGTTGAGAAGGCATATAAACATCATACAACATGAAAGCATCCGTTGGTTTCCTTGATGTTTGAAGCAAGCAGTCCTTAGCCCCAGAAGAGACACCCTGAACCTGAGCGGATGTAGACATGGATAACCTACTGTCGGTTTAGTGTTTCAAAGCGGAAATTCACTACTGAGAATTAAGACTTGAATAGCGTGCTGGTATTAAATATAGAGAGTGAATATAAAGCCAGACACACTCAGTGTTCACAAAAGCTGTAGGTTTGTCCTTCCCATCGATTCTCTGCGTCCCCTTGGAAAGCAGTTCTGATATCCATCAACTTCAACCGATGCTCTCTTGCTTCCTCAAGACTCATTGGAAGCGCATCGTCGAACTCATCTGCGAGCATACTCATCAGTTCTAAGGGCAGGCCATGTGAACCTCCCTCCGCTGCTACCTTGAGACCGGAATTATCGGCCGAAGGAGCTTTGTCTAGGATCATTTGGGCAATAGGTCTAGCGACCTTGTTAACCTCTGCTGTTCTCAGGTTTTTGAATGCTCGATCTATCCACCAATCCTGTTGCTGCGGGGGGACATTGGCTGTGCTGATGACACGAGTCAATGGGTCCACGAGCCACAAGGCGATGAATCGTCTATAGCCCGGCTTTGACTTGTCTTTCAGCTCAAAGGGGGAGACCCTGTGGTGGAAGACATTGGGGAAAGCGAGCAGTCTGCCTTCCTTTGTCTCCACGCTCCCGTAGTTCTGCAGGCATGGCGCATTCTGGCCCACCCCGAGTCGAGTACCATAGACACGTTCCATCCATTTGTAATTGTCCTGACCAACTTGGAAATGGCTGTCGATATCGTAGCTTGTATGCATCCGAAACTGTAGATGACTAGGTGTGATGTTTTCCGAGTCCAAGTAATAGAGCGCTGTGCCAACAATGTGCTCATTCATTTGGCCCTCCACATGCCAACCACCCACGGGAAACTCGGGTTTCTCAGGTGTTAACTCGATGGAAGCCATTTTTACAATAATTTGAAGTCCTTCGAACTTCTCCCTTAGAGACTCACCCTGACTGGGTCCATATTTCCAGGATTTAAACCCAAGGGGACGAGATTGGACCGGTTCCCGAATCATTTTCCATTTGACCTCCTTACGGGTTCCACTGTAGGGGTCTCCAGACTCAGAATCCCAGTCTTCAAAATCTTCCTCTTCGTCGAATTCTTCCTCGGCATCACCTTCTTCGCCTGATACCTCAGCTTCTGATGGTGCTCTCGAAGGCCTTGGCGTTTCTACCTCATCGAGTGTTGGTACCCAGTTCTCTTCATTGTTATCACTGGGGATTTCCGTGGTTAGCTGTGATCAATAGATAGGCACGAATCTCCTCGCCCTGGTCCTTCTCAACTTTGAACTTACTCAGGCTCATCCGGAAACGGGAAACGGGAAGGCCTCCCACTTTCGTGGCTCCAACCACGAAGGGCAGCAACACAGTTATCCCAAGCTGGGATGGATTTTTCAATAAGCTTCTCAATCGTGCCGTAAATCTCTCTGTGCTTGAGCGGGTGAAGATTGTTGATGTAGCTGGTAAACTTCACGCTTCCGTCCGGCTGGAATTTGACATTGGCAGGAAGCCACTGGTACTTGTGAGACCAGAAAGAAGGGTCAATACGAGGCCCCCCGTACCCGTCAAACCTCCCAGCAACCTCTCCATGGCCTATGGGTTCGGGAATGATTATGCCCTTCCCGGCCCATTTGTCGATCGCATCATCCACACCCACGACCTCGTCGGCAAACACTCGCGTGGTTCCGTATACGAGTGGGTAAAGCGAAGGATGGACCAGGTCCTGCACCTTGTCGTCCGTGCGGGGATGCCAATCTGGATTTGACTTTTGCTCTGCCTGGAGCTTCATAAACGCTGCCCGCAGCTCGTCTCGGAGCGCTTCGTCGACCAGCGTGTCGGATTTGCAGACTGCTGCAGACGCGTCCAAGGTTGGGACCAGCCCCGTCTTCTCGAAGTACTTGGCCTTGGTACGCAATTCCTTGATACACTATCAAGATGTGAGCGATCAAGAAGCGAAGTAAGAGAGCTGGACGTCTTCACTCACGTATTTGAGACAGTCTTTGTCTAAGATGTTCTTGAGTCTCTTGACCCGATGGCCATCTGGGCCATCGTTGCCCAGAACGATCTCATCCCAGAGGGAATTGTCCGGTATCGCAAGCGCCTCGTCAACCCACTTGGCGACAATCGCATCGTCAAAGACCTTGCGGTGGAAGTCGGGCTTGTCGGATAGGCGATCCATGACGATCATCATGGCGACCTCCCGAACGAAGAGCATTTCCGATTTGGAGCCGGGGTAGTTGGGATGGATGCCTAGAGGGTAATAGTCCTTCTTATCCCAAGGATCGGCGAGACATCGCAGATCCTTGCCTAAGCCTGGGTAAGAATTAGAGCTGGAGCCGAGTATTTGCTCCATTGTTGGTGAGAGGGTTGGCCGATGGTGAGGGACTGGGGACGATCTGGGGAATGGTCTGTTCTGGGATGAGCAAAACGCAATTGTAGGCCACTGGAGTTGGTTCCTTGATTGTGATTAAGTGAGCCGTGTATGAATTGCCGTCAATCTTTTGTGCGTATGGGTTGATCTCCAAGTCTCTCCCAGACCTGGGCAAAGACGTGTCTTTAATAGCGCTAGTTGATGCCACCCAATCTGACCTGTGTTACATCTGGTAATAATAAAGCTCTGCCGGCTCTACCTAGTATTGCTTTAGGCTGCCAATCTGCAGAGTGGAGAAAGGTCCTCCCATTCACGCGTTTATCACTGTAAAGCCTGGCTCTTTCACGGTCCCGGTTATTTTCTCAGTGGTGACAAGCGCTCACAATCTCGAACTTGTGCGCTCGGGTGCCTAATGTCTTCTCTTGTTTAGCGAAGACTCGGGAGTGTCTCAAAGTGGGCAACGCCGAGGGGTTAGTTGCTAGGAGGTCAATTGGATCATTGTTCCATCATGGCATCATCACGGTAGGCTATAACTAAAACAAAGTCTGAGGAGCCGTCAAAATAATTATAGTGCCGTTTGATTAGTGTCTAAAAAGATAAAAAAAAAATCATGGTTCCTATGCTATGAATGTGGCTTCAGTAATCAAACGTTACTTTTTTGGTCCCTTTTCATCCGATTCCTGTAGGCTAATGCCAAGCTGTTACTCTATGCCGTCCTCTTGTGTGCGTACTTGTATTTGGTTAAGTCCCCCAGAGGTACGCGGAAGGGGAGAGCATCCTCGCACAGGTAGTGTAATACGGTGTAATAACACAGAATCGATGCCGCGAAAGCAAACCCACCAGAGGCTTTCATAAAATTCGTGCCTAATTCTATCTTGCCCTCGGCGGAGGCAAAGTAAGAAGCGGCGTCGAATATCAGGCAGAGCTCCACGAAGGAAAATATTCCAACATAAGTGATGTTCCTAAGTGACTTGTCAATATATGAGAGGGCAAAGGGGACAGGATGCTTCTGGAGGTCGAGAACGTACATTCTGGTTGTGCAGAGGAGGAAGAAGAGGTTAAAGCAAGCCCATATTAAGACGTAGGATCCGAGGGCGTTATTAAAAGAGGGGGTAGCAAATCCTCCATAGAAGTCCGCGATCCCAGTAGAGGGGATGGTGACATATCCGTAGCCAGAGTAGAAGAAGCCTATAGAAATTATAGTCGTTAATAAAATATGCTCTAAATTTCTTGCCCAACATCTACGAGCATTCGTACCAAAAGCCATAAGAACAGTATAGGAGAAAGTGTTCCCCTTAAGCATCTCCCATTGAGCGGAGATGATCAACCCAGCGCCAGCAGCGAAGCACAAGTCGGCAACGAAGACGGGTGCTTGAAGTGTAACGTCTCGGAGATTTAGCATGCCGAATGAGACTGTGAGAAGTGTCGTGGCAACAGCACCCATGACGAATGGAGACTTGGAAGGACGGAGTATATTAGTCCAAGTACTGAGAAATACGAGATATTGTGGGAATTTCATACCGAATCGGCCAGAGTATCTTGCCATCGAGGAGGCTGATTAATGATGGCGGTCTCAAATACTTGAGCCTCCTCATCGGAATCGCTTCTGAGCTTGGACATCGTGTGAGGCAATGACGTTTAGGGGACGGCCCTTATAGATTAGGGGTTAATTTGATGTTAATAGTTTAGAGGGATCTAATGTAAGTTAACGGCAAGAGATAACAAGGCGGGATGATGTCTCCTTTTATGGAAGGCATGGAATTTTCTTTGAAGCATCTACTAGAATCTGACATGGCTGATGGTCGGAAACCTGACTTGATCCACACGGAGCCCGAATTGTATCATCCTGTCTCGCTTTCGACTCCGACGGGACAAAATGGATTACTTGACACATAAATTGAGGTTAATGTAGGAAACCTTCCCTTCTTGTGTTAGTCAAGTATGGCGAGTATGCTTTCCTGCGGGTGATGGAGTTGAAGAGTAGCTTATAGATGCCGGATTGCCGGTAGTCTAAGTGTATTATTAGCAGGTTCAACCCGGCCCGGGATGAATGAATCACTTGCGGTTAGGCTGTATGGAAAATCTTGTAGCTCTATCGCTGTAACATGCCCGATTTTGACTAGCAGAATAGAGAGGCTTATGGTGATCCAACGGCCTAGAACCTAATTTCCCTCTCAAAAAAGCCCGGTTTGGCTAGTTTGATGATGATAAATGTCAACTCATCTGCTACTTGGTGTACCAAGTGTTATTCATCTTCTCTCCACTGTCATGCTTCACCGCCAAGGACATTCTCGTGCTCCCGTGCTTGGCTTTGCTCGCTTGCTCCCCGCTTTCCTCCACATCAAGAAGTGTGGAGAGATGTAGGAGAATTGATTGGTCTGGGGCGATCATTTACATAATGAACAGCCATGGTCCGTTTCCAGGCAATTGAAAGAGAACTTTTCCGTACCCGAACATTCCGACTTTACCCATGCTAGGCATTATCGTCTCGGGTCCTTTGAGCAGCTCATTGATGAATGTTTAAAGTCGGCCATTAATAGGAATGTTTACGCTAGCAAATCGATCGGCATCTCCTAGCAGCATTCAGTTTCCTATTATTCAAGATTGAAACCCACCTATTAACCTCTTGATTATACCATTCTCGATATCAAGCCTTAATGGCCAACACCTAGAAGACGCTTGCATTTAAAGCTTGAATTAGCGTAATTCCAAGTCCCAAGAGAAGGAAAATCGTCCAGGGGATTGAGTGCAACTTCATTGGACATTACGAACGACTGCCTTAGTCACAGAAGAAGAGGTCAAGCAATGGCTATCAACGGAGGGCTATATCTTATGCACCCAGAAAGCTTAATATTAACAAGACAAAAACCTTTTCCCCGACCAAAAATTCTCAGTATCACTGTAGATACCCTTATACTAGTGCAATATGCCACTGGCTTAGCCAGTGATGATTCTTGCTCCTGGCGTTGCCCTGACTGGGGCCGATAGGAATATGGAGATTTATTCGAATACCAGTGAGATTTTTTCTTGTCTCGATAACAGCTCCCTCTTCAATGTCAATAAATCCTGTAGAACTAAGCCAGGAGACCTAGCATGCTGATTTTGGATTTGTGAAAGACTGCTTAGAGACGTTAAGCCGCAGTCTTAGATGGACAGACAGTGGTAACACGGCGTGAAGCGGGTAATCGTCAAGGCTGAGGCTAGACATAGGTAGTGGCTGCTCGAGGCTTCCAAAACTCGATCCTTCATGAGCTTTCCAATATTCTCAAGATGAAGCTGTTGGCATAAACACGAAAGCTGATCAGTTCAATAAGGCTAACAAACCGAAAGGAGAAGAAAGGCAAAACTCGCGAGCGGCATCGTTAGAGATATCTACATTGTGAGAATGTAAGGAAGTGTGGTTGATAGCTAGATAGTTAACCTTGATACCTTCTGCAAATATCGTGCCCTGTCCACTTAATAGATGAAGAAAGTAAAAAGATGTATGATTTGTTTGTAATAGCCATACTGGTAGTTAAGACGAGGGAAGATATTGTGGCAGGTACCACTAAATTGACTCAGTATGCCTTTGACACACAATTAGCTATCGGATTTTTGATATATGTGGCAGGATTGAGAGAACTGAGTCGTTGAAATTCATAGATTTTTCTGTGAGATAGCTATCATATCCATAATATGCTTTAGATGTAGATGGACAATTGCAAATTCTCACGCTTTTGCTTCTCTGATGACCCTTGATAGTTCAAGCCACCAGCAGCGGGTGAGAATAGATAGAAACTCTGTCTATCCTAGAGAAGCCGTTCCAAAACCAGTTAGATTGTTTGATGATGCTGTCTGTTTTGCATTCAAATTGGATAAGTTCTTTGTGTTTTTCAATGTTCCAGCAGTTGCAAAGGTGCCCATGGCTTCCTTTTTGGAGACATCCTGTTCATTATCTTGCCATGCACCTTTATCAAGCAGTTTGATTTGGCATGGATTTTTTTATCTGCCTGCACAGAAACCGTAATTCCCATGTTATTTACCATGGGACCAGGATATTGAAGCCTTCAGCAGCAAAAACTTGTTACCCCTATCTCGGCCCCTAAGTTGACGAACTTAGCCCATTGTGCCTTATACTGGCCCTAAACAGATAACTAGCTGGTTGAAAGATTACTTCGAGTCGTGGATGATCGACCTTAAGTCAATGATATCTTTAATCGCTGAGATAGGGTTGTTTTCAGCAGTGTCGTGACATCGATTTATGAACATATGAGTACAACTCAGAATTTCAATTCGAGCCTCATGTATGAGGCTTGTTGTAGCCCCTCTGAAAGAAGTTGGATCTGAATAGCTCGCCTGCACTGCCTTAGCCTGTCATCGCGCTATCATTGTCTCTAGAAAGATAGAAACGGTATTAATTCTCGAAGAACTAATTATTAACCCGCTAGATTCAGTTGAATAACTAATAGAAAGGTTGGCTGTGGTGCCGGGGAGGACAAAAAAGAATTAGTTTTGACCTGGGGCTGGCGGAAGTATCTCAACAGTGGTCCTTCTATCCTTCAGACTAGAGCTAAACGTCAATGAATATTCCTGGGATCCAAAGCCAAGTCAAAGAGGCGGAACAAATCTCGATTCGTGCGCAAGATGTTCAGTGGTACTTCACTGATCAGACATCACCGCCCCAACTGGTCCTCTTGCCGCTGCATCACGAATTTACACGCGGATGAGATTATCATGGATTGAATGCTGCTTGTCCGTACACCAAAGTCAAAAAAGACTAACCCGAAGTTTGATCCAAGTAATACGTGGTTCCGCCGATCCATCTGAATCTACCTAGAAGGGAAAGCTAAGTACATATGGCCAAGTACATATGTAATGATGGCCATCAACTGCGAGGAGTTTAGAAATTATGGAAGTCGTGAACATTATAGTGATGAAAAAAAGTAAATTTAGTTGATATCTATTCATTAATTAAGTACCTATATAATAATATGTCTCATGAAGATTAACAGTCGTCACTCTATTGATGCTGAGGCTTGTGATTTTCGCTAGAACCGCGACTACTGATAGAGCCCTCTCCTCCCCTTGCAACGACAGTCGTCGTCTGGTTGCGGACCTTGCGAGTTTCAACGCGGACCGAGTAAGGCGCGCCTTGGTCAATCAGGGTATCGGTATCCTTGAAGGGGCCCTTTGCCGACTTGTCATCGCCCAGCGGCGCATCCATCGTGTTCATCTCAATGGTGGTAGTGACCTTGGGCCATTCTGGCTCGGGCTCGGGGACGTTCCTAGTCGCGTTTTTATCGGCACCGGTGCGAGGCCCATGTGAGCGGGAGTGAGTGTGTGAGTAGTCGGATGTACCGCCAGGCTCTGAGCTGCGAGCCAGCTTGGCGATAAGACTGGCCATGGACATTTCGATGTTGAGCTTGACGATGTAGGCGAGAGGATGGAATTGCATGTACCTGCGAGGCCGATGTTAGCATTTTCTTTCCCTGATTATTTTCCCCTTAAATGGACGGCGCCAAATGAGGGTATGAGATTATGAAGCAAGACATACACGAAGGTGTTGGGCAGACTCATCATGGCAATGATAAGAACGTCCATGCCCAGAGAGAAACCAATGATGAAGATGTTGAACCGGACGAGACCGTTATACTTGTGCAGACCAAGTTCGATAAGATTCTGTCGGACGATGCGGATGAAGAGCAAGTTGAGACCACCGTCGACGAGGAGGTAAATGGCCTTCTCGCATCGATCCCAGATTTCGTTGATGTGAACCCACGCGGGCGAGATTTGCAGACGGGCGGGAATCCAGATACAGTACACCGAGATGTTGATGAGACCGATGATTAAGACGGTGCCGTACTTGATTCGGAAAAGGAACTTTCGGTCGGTTAAAAGAATGGCTGAACGATTGATGATAATTTGCAGGAGGAATTGGACCTGTTCTCACATGTCAACATTGCGCAAGACTAGGAAAAAGCAAAGAAGGATGACAACATACCTGCATAACCCAAAGGGTGACTGATGTGGAGAGATATCAAATTAGCAACCCGTCGCCTGTGTGAACGGCATCCATCCAGTACTTACGGATACAAAAGTAAAATTCAAAGCTAGAATGTCTCGAATCAGCACGATGAATATCCAAGATTGATGGGGGCGAGGGACCTACCTGGGCCTGATGATTCCAAACAAATGGAGATATGTCAAGATACCGAAGCCAAGACTAGCAGTGATTTCGCCCCAAATCATCCAAATATACGCGTTGTTTATCATGGTCCACCCCAGGCGCCGGTAGGCACTCATCGTCTGTTGGATAGCCGTCCATGTTGTGATCCAGCCCATGCCGAGAGTGAATCCCCAGGCGAGAGAGGCAAGGACCAGATCGGTGGTGGTCACCTCCTGGAGCTTGAACCACTCGGGGATCAAGGTACCCCGGGAACTCATCGTTGCGAGGCTGCTGCAGAAAAAGAAAGCAATGAAAGACTTGGGTGATATTTATTAAGTATAATACAAGATGTACAAAAACCAGATGACAGCTGCACAAGAAAAAAGCAATGTGAGGGGGGGGAATCGGACGATGGGAGGTGGTCTCCGGCCTTTAAAGGGAAGCGGGACACAGGCCAATGGTTTGCCAGCGCACA